GTACTGCTGAAAAGGATCTGGGGTTATAGTGGATCACAAATTGCATGAGTCAACAGTGTGATGCAGTTGTGAAAAAGGGCTAATATTCTGAGGTGTATTAACGGGAGTGTTGTATGTAAAACACAGGAGGGAACTGTCCCACTCTACTCGGCCCTGGTGAGGCCTCAGCAGGAGTTCTGTGTCCAATTCTGGGTGCCACACTCTAGGAAAGATGTGGACAAATTGGAGAGATTCCAGAGGAGAGCAACAAAAAGGATAAAAGGTTTAGAAAACTAGACCTGTGAGGAAAGGATAACAAAAATTGGACGTTTAGTCTTGAGAAAAGAAGGCAGAGCAGGGTCCTGTTAACTGGTATTGAGAGGATAGTGATCAGTTGTTCTCCATGTCCAGTGAAAGCAGGACAAAGAAGTAATGGGCTTAATCTGCAGCCAAGGAGGTTTACATTCAGGCTAGTTAAGCTTGGGAAAAGGCTTCCAAGGGAGGTTGTGGAATCTCCATCATTGGAGTTTTTAAGAACAGGTTGGACAAACCCCAGTCCGGGATGGTCTAGGTTTACTTGATGACTTCTCGAGGTCCCTTGCAGCCCTTCATTTCGAAGCGTCTGTGTTGGAAAAAGAACATCAGTGGCAAAGACCAGCCTAAGTCCCTCCTCTGATCACTGATATTTATTAGGATGTGGTGCTAAAAGACCAGGGCCGGCTCCAGGCACCAGCCGACCAAGCATGTGCTTGGGGCGGCACCTTGGAGTGGGGCGGCGCTAGGATATTTATTTATTTTGGTTCGGTGGCGGGTCGCTCGGAGGGGGGCGGGGGCTTTGGGCGGCGCGGCGCTCGGAGGGGGGCGGGGCTTGGCACGGCGCGGCGCTCGGAGGGGGGGCGGGGGCTTGGCGTGGCACTCGGAGGGGGCGGGGGGCGGCGCAATGCTTGGAGGGGGCGGGGCTTCGGGCAGTGCGGGGGCTTGCGGGGTTTCGGGCGGCGTGGTGCTGGGGGGGGCGGGGATTTCGGCAGCGCTGGTGGGTGCGGGTTCAGCTGTGCATCGCTCACGGGGGGTGGGGGAGGGTACTGCGGGGCGGCGCTCTTCTTTTTTTCCTGGGGCGGCAAAAAAGTTAGAGCCGGCCCTGTAAAAGGCTCCCTGCAAGTCAGCCATGTGGCAAATGAAGCCCATCTAGATCATATTGGCATGTGAATAATCACACGGAATGACATATCTCCTTTGTAATACTGAGACTGTAAACTCTACAGAGCAGGGCCCATCCTTTATTCTGTGTTTGTATAGTGCTGATTACAATGAACCTCAATCTAACTGAGATCTGAGGAAATGCTATCCTGCAATGCGGATCTACTGTTTTCTAGTAAGTTACCTTCATTTTCCGGCTCTCTGACAGAAGAATGAGATGAGCAGTTCCCATCCTTTCCTCTCTGAATTGCTTTCAGAGACACTTCCTTTAAAGTGCTGTGCTATGCAGATATGTTGGATGTTTCCTTTGAAGAATGATTCTCTTGTGCCAGCAAATGAGGAACTACTTAAATATTCATGCTTAGGAACCTTGTGAATGACTGTAATGTACTGCAGGTTTTGTATTCAGCTGGAAAATGTTTATTATGGAAGGGCTTATAGAAGATATCAAATGGCTCTTCTCAGATGGGAGGAATTAATTCTGGCATAAGCGAGCAGCCTTTTAAATAAGGTGAACTGGTAGTTTGTTTTCATGCACTGGCCCATAGAAGTTGATTTGGTAAATAATTTTATTAAATTATTGACCATTGAATGTGTTAAAAATTAAACCAGAGCTCTTGCTGTAACTAGAGGCACCAGGTAGCTTAGCTGGAAGCACCACGCTAGAAATAATGCCAATGACCCACAAGTATAGTTCTGTTAGTGTTTTTGTGACCTCTAATTAATTAGCATAGTATCCAAGCACCTCAAACAATGAATTAATCACTCAGATCCTGTGGTGATGGGCATAGTACAAGAATCTAAATAGGACCGTAACACCCCCCCCCCCCCCCATGAAGTAGGGAAATAGTCTCCTCATGTCACAGATGGGGAAATTGAGGCACAGAAAGACATAGTGATCTCCCCAAGGTGATGCAATCATTGGCAGAGCTGGGGCTTAGAACCCAGGCCTCCTGATTCGCTCCTTTACTTCAACCACCATATATAACAATTTCTCCCAATCTATCACCCCTGAAATGTTTGTGGTAATAAATCTGTCACTTCTAGAAACTGACTCACTGAGTTTCTGCTGGGGACATGAGAAAATAGCCAGTTATTGATACTCTTTAAGGGTATAAAGGAAAGCAACCACTGAAAAATGGTGGAACTATCCTTATTCTCACGTGTGCTTTTAGTGCAAGAAACCTCTCTCCTGCTGTTCTTCTGAAAAGCAAACTTCCTGGTGCTGCTTCGCTTTCTGTATTGAAAGCTGATGCAGAAATGCCAATTTAGGAAATGCAACTGCTGATAGAAAATTCAACTGATGTCAAAGCAATGACTCTCGCAACATTTTAAGCTTTCCTTTGTGCGCCTCATTCTGGGCGATTGTCCCATGTCTCAATGTGTCTCATGTCTGGCCCTTTAGCAGGCTAAATCCTGTGACCAAACTGGAAGCGACTTAACTTGCCCCACATCTGATTTCATCCCACACAGAAGAGACGCCCCGCCCTGCACTGGAATGAGTTGGCCAGTTCACTCTGGAGCATAGTCTGTCTGACCTTTTTGCTTTCCCTGTGTTTTGCAATACCAAGCAGGATTATAAAACCAGTAGATTTTGCAGTTTGCAAAGGATTACAGTGCTCTACAACTGCTGTGAAATGCATGTGGCTTTTCTCCCTCCCCCAATAGTTCTTTTCCCCCCCCCCCCAAATAGTTCTCCCAGTTTCAGCATTTGTTTTCTGTAGCTTTTTAATTTGTTTCACTGGTATTTTCTGTGGGTAACCTCTGTTTACACCCGATACTTGAGCTCTCCAGACCAGCAGCAAATGATTTTTTTAAATTCACCAAGGAATTTGTTCGCCATAAAAATGCAAACCAAACTAGAGGTGTGGTGGGGTTTCTAATGCTCATGTTGCTGCTGGAACTCCAGGCAAGAACTTCGTGATGGGTGCAATTGGGCCAAATAATCCACCATCTGTGCATTCTCCCTCATACAACCAATGGATGCGTTGCATGCAAATTAGCTGCAGAGACGGGTTAGTGAGTGGTTGAATTAATTCTGATATCACAGTGGTCTGGGACTCTTGGAACGGCATAGGTACACGCCTTGCTGCGGCTGTACGTGCGTGGGTGTAATTTGTAAAGTAGAAATGGCCAAGAACTTAAAAATTGGATGGTAACAGACTGTGAAATCCTGTGATTGAACCCGATGATATTCTGAACAAAAAGAGCTCTCTGCCATGCTTGTAGCTGTTTCCATTGTGTCACACGGACACAACGGACATTTTAGGCTTCAGAGTGACACACAGTGATGTTCTGGGAATCCTATTATGACTATAACAATGGAGTTATGCAGTTTTGTAACCTGGTCAAACACGGTGGTTACTAACAAAAGCCATGTTTAAATACCATTGTTGCTGCTAGCACAGTTTCAGTGTTGGAATGAACCAGATAAAGGAGAAAACAAGATTTAAACACTCCATGAGTAATGCAAGTTACTATCAAGGCTTGAATGTTTAACCTGGCAAACGGTTATACCTAACTAGCAGTGACTGATGGCAAAGCAAGGATGTTCAGTGATCTTTACAGGGCAGATACAGCATTCAGGAAGCTGCATCAGTGAACAGTGAAAATCAATTTGGGGTTATTTTGAGGTAAGCTGATTTGCTTTGAGCATCTGTGTGTCTCAAAGTTGTGGGTGTTGGTTTGTTTGGGGTTTTTTTTTTGTTAGTGTCCATGCTCTGTTGGAGTGGAGAAATTGGGATTAGTGCTAAAATCTACACTGGCCCCGCTGTGTGCATCTACTACCCCCATTTTATTTCCAAAATCCGTTTGAATCCCATCTCATTCTGGCTGACTGTGGACTTGACTTTGACAGCTTGCTTGAGGATTGTGGGCAGAATCTGACAATCCTTAGTCAATCCTTCCAAAAAAGCAAACAATAGAAGGTTGAAGCAATTTGCGGTTATGCTGCCATCTGTTGGTGGGCAGTTATAGTTTGTTTTGTTACATGTAGGTCAGATTTGGTTGAGAAATGAAAAACACCATGAATCACAGAAACCACCTTTATTAAATGTCCCGTCCCGCCTCTTCACTTAAAATTCCAAAGAGACATGATCGTTAGTGTTTGGGATTTCATGATCTCTGGTGTTTCCTCCTTCAGACTGAGTTCTCCAGCTGCCTGGAGACATCTTGCTACACCTCTAGCACACAAATGTGGTGCTGCGGATTGGAAGTGGAGTGAATTGGCAGCTCTTTGTGTAGAAGGTTACGCAGTCCCGACCTGCACCTCTCTAACCTCCACTAGCACCTAACTGCACTCCCCATATAACCAACGACAGAAATCAGACCTTGAATTTTAACATAGAAGCCACTGTGAACATTCTTAATCCAAGTACAGCCACCTCTATTAAAACTAGGGAACCCCAGCCCTAAGATGGCTGCCTGTTCTTCCCAACAAGAACAAATGCAGTTAGGAAACGGATCAGTTTATTCAGATGCAGTTTGAAATGCAAGAGAATTTATTTGAATCCGTTTATTTAGAAGTGTGTCTTAAATGGGGTGTCTCTTTGGACGTGGAAATGGGGAAGATGTGGATTAAAAATATCGCTGGCCAAATTGTGTGCCCTCAAGACACTGATCTTCAGAGGTATGTTCCAAGCAGCCCAGTCATGGCACAGACTTATTTGGGACCATGAATGAGTCCCTCGCTTTCTTGCCTTCCAGCCCAGATCAAGAGGGGTGCATTTGGACTTCTTTTAATGGTACGGCACACATGGAATGACTGGTGTGTCCTTTAAAGTTGATGGCCCTTCAGTAATCCATTTTTACCTACCCCTTTGCAGGTATGGCAGATCCCAGAGAACGGACTCACTCTCTCCTTGACGGAGCCTGTGGTAGTTTTAGAAGGCCATTCAAAAAGAGTTGGCATCGTTGCTTGGCATCCAACTGCACGCAATGTGCTGCTCAGTGCAGGTATGATGTGTAAGCATTGCGGGGGGAATGAATGACTCTCACCTATGTTTCGTTCGTACACCAGATAATTTGGAGGGGAATTGCTGACCTTTCCCTGTTACCATTTGCCTGAGTTCCTTTGGTCTGTAGGGCTGGGTCAATCACGATACTGTTCTTGTTTTACCGTATTACCAGTCACGGACCCCATTATGCTAGATGCAGTATAAACAGAACAATACTGCCTTTTTTTTTTTTTTTTTCCTGCTAATGCAGAGAGTTACCATCTTCTCCCATTCTGTGCTGAGTGCTTGCCCTCTCTGATTTGCAGATATGAGACATAGGAAATTGTCTGCAGGAAACAGTTGTATTTAAACCATTCCAGACTTTATTGATAAGCAAGTATAACAACCATTTCAGGTTCAGCTATTCAACAATTCACCCTCTCTCTCCCCCCCCCCCCCCCCCCCCACTTTTAACAAAAGTGTAAATGTTTCTCTTTTCCAGGTCAGTTTCTCATATACTAACAAAAAATAACAAATGGGGTGGTGTTCTCTTACTGATAATCCAAGGTATCAAAGCAAAGGTGTCAAAGATTATAAGCATACATATTGCAGGCCTCCTCCATCCATCCAGTTCCATCTTTGGTCCTGTCCACGTTAGCAGAAGTTTACAAGTGTGTTGGCAACAATTTTCAAATACTGTTAGTCTTGACATGGTTTGTTTTCACACTCAGTGCAGTGTGTAACCATGTGAATAACCTATGATGGAAACCTGGTAGGGGACTGAGTCTGCAATTTAAGTGTCTGCTAGCAGGGATACCCAGGAAAGCAAGTACCTCTCCATGCTGGGAGAACAGTATCGAAAACCAGCTGTAGTTAGCTACAGTGTGATCATGTAAGGTTCTGGCAGGACCCTGCTTCAAATGTGTAGCTGGTATGGTTTTGTTCCCATGTGGACAGCACCTAAGGCAGGGGTAATCAATTATTTTTTGTCAAGGTCCCAATTTCTTGGTCAAGGTATAGTCAAGGTCCAGACCCCCACCCAGGTCCCCTCCCCTAACCCCTGATTGCCCACCAGCTCCCTGCCTGGAGAGTAGAGTGACCTTATTTCCCTAAACTGAAAACAGGATTCAGGGGGCTGGCCTGAGCCACCTGGTGTTGCTGCTGTTCCCCCCCCCCCCAAATATGTTCCTCCGTGTCCCCAGTTGAGCCAAGTCGCAGAGATGGGGGCAGGTGGAAGAGGAATGGGTATCTGGGTAGCGAAGCAAGGTGTGAATGTTTGTGAGTACTTTTGAGCTTGGAGCCAGGAGGTGAAGCTATTGGACTATGATCCAGCTAGTGGTGAAATGCCCCTTTGGAGGCTGGGATAACGGGGCGGGGGGGGGGGGGGGGAAGGGGGGTTCCGGATAGGGGGAGGGACCAAGGAGACGCCAGAGAGCAGCCCTGGGGAGGCCAGGATGTGGCAGTAGTGAGTGACTGGAGGCAGACTGGGAAGGGAAAGGGGCTGGTTGGGGTGGGGTGGGGGGGGGGGAGGGCTGGCGAGGGCTCTGGGGTCTGGCCCTGAAGCATGGGGTGGGGAGGAGACAAAGCCAGGGTGGGGGGCTCTGGGGAAAAACCTGGGTGTGGGTGTTGTGTGTGTGTTGCGCTTGGTGCCCCGGCACAAGCGGATGCTGCAGGATCCCTTCAGGCACTTACCAGCTGGGTTTCCAGGTAGGGCCCGAGGCCCACAAGTTGCAACTCCATGGCCCAGCCAACCCCACCGTCTCCAGGAAACGCAGAGAAGAATTTGAATTAGGGCCCGGACAGTGCTGCCCTCTGGGCTGCAGAATGAGCACGTTGCACTCCCATCGCTTCCTGATTGGAGCGGCACGGCAGAGTGGAGACACATTGGACTGCCTGTGGGGGCGGGGTGTGTGTGTGCAGACATCCCCTCCTAAACGTTGCCACTCACCCCCCCTGCCCCATCCCTGCACTGCTGCCGGTGGGGCTGAGGCTGCACAAGCAACCGCCCAGGGGAACACAGTGCCCACCAGCTTGGGGACCCTGCGCTAGGGAGTGGACGCGGCTCCGCACGGCTGCAGCGCCGGCTCAGGTTCAGCCTGTGCAGTCTGCTGAAAAGCATCTGGTGGTCGGGATTTGGCCCACGGTCCACCTATTGACTACCCCTGGCCAAAGGCCTTGTCTGCACGAGAACTGGTTTAGTGAAATCTGTGCAGCCCCTTGGGAAGATGCTTATTTTGGTTTAAGGATGCCGTATCAATTTAGCTGAATTGCTATAACTTTCCCATGTAGACAAAGCCAAAGTCCCTGTTTGAGACTAGCCAAACAGTCTTGCATGTCCATCTGAATGGTACCTGCATGTGTTTGGAGAGTCTTTTCACAAACTCTCATTTTCAGTACTTACTGTACCCTTTATTTGCACAGTCCATCCAATGGGATTCCCTTAACCTCTGTTACAACTGCATCCTTTGACAGGCGTGCCGAAGAAAACAAGATGAAGACCTATTTTTGTGGTCCAAGTCCGTATCCGTAAAAGTGGCCTGAGGACTTTATTGCGTAGCCTGAAACTGTGCGAAACTTGGCTAGGTTAGTTTTGAGCCTAGTAATGGAAACTAGCAGAGTTTCGCTGGAATCTTTTCTGGGTCATTAGATCCTCTGTGCCCTCTGCATAGGCAGATGTCTTTGGAGACTTCGGTTTGGTTTCGAACTGGTCTCCTAACCAAAGGTTTGACTGACCACATCGTCGGCCTGCTAGGGCCATGACTGGCTGAGTCTACCCACAGCATTGCTTGTGCGGGGGTCTTGTTGAGACTGCTTGTGCCTGGTGGAGCTCTGTATTCCCCAGTGTCAGAAACCAGGAGCCATATAATCGTTTGTCCCAGCTTTGAACATGCAAGATCCGTGCCGTTTGTTTCAGAAGGAGGCCATCAGAGGCTGAAGGGAAGCAGGGAGATTGGTGGTTCTGTTTCGCAGGTCAGAGGCCTAGAACACAGTCCAGACAGTTCACACCAGGTCTTAAAATGTTGCTTCGGTCACCTGCCTGGGTGTTGCTCTGAGTCTCACAACATGGGCCTAAAGCCCAAGTATTCCTACACAAAATGCCTGGGGAGAGCAGCAACTGAGGCCAGGGCACTTTCCCTCTCGCATGGGCCTTTCAGCCGCACCTGAACCTCCTCAGCCTTCATCTTCAGCATCCTCTCTGTCAGAGACCTCTCCCCCTCTTCCACGGCCCTCTCGCGCCGCTCCACGGCCCTCTCGCGCCGCTCCACGGCCCTTGCCCTGCGTTCCACGGCCTTCTCCCTCTTCTCCACTTCCCTCTCCCGCTGGCTGGCACGCAGAGCCAGCGCCCCCATCTGCTCCATGAGGTGAGCCCATTCCCCCTCTGCGACTGGCTGGTGCTGTACCACAGGCAAGTGCGCCGCTGGGCATTGGTTGACCTGCCTGTGCCCACTCTTCTCCAGCTCCTCTCTGTGCATGCTCCTCAGGTGTTTCCACAGAGCGGTGGTCCCAACGTTCAGCCCTGGACCACGGCTGACCTGTCGGCCACAGAGCCTGCAGGCAGCATATTGGCTGGGGTGGTGACCAGTCCGGGGCGGGGCAATGTGGAAGTACTCCCACACCTCAGAAAATCTCACTCCCCTGCCATGGTGTGTGTGGGCAGGCACTGCACCTCTCCGCGCTCCTGTGTTACCAACCTCTTCCTCCTCTATCCTCACGACCACCTCCTCCTCTTCCTGCTTCATCCCCTCTCGAGAAGTTCAGTACACAAAGAAATGCAAAGTGCGACCAATGCTCTAAAACCCCTGCACCCCAAGTGTGAAACCTCTTAATCCTCAGAATGCCTCAAAGAAACACATCCATCAAATTCGTCCAGTTCACTCCGGGACCTTCTCTTCTCCCTTTATTCCTCCAATAGAGAGAGGGAGCGATTCAGTCTTTCTCTTATGTGACAGTTGTCTCCTTAGTAGCCGAGTCCCTGTTCAGTGCCATCCATCTCTTGCCCATAGGTGATGCAGCAAAGCTGAGCAAAAGTCACGTAGTTGTGTCTCGAGTTTTGGATTTGAATGAAACCAAAACTTGGAGGGTCCAAAACTGTGTGAACTGAAGTTGCTGCAATAACCAAACCTATGCAGGCTGGAATGGCAGTTTTTTTTAAAGCTTTTCTTCCTCCTCTAAAGATTCTCAGCACTTACCTAGTGCTTTTCATCAGCACCCTTCACAAATGTGCGCTAGTCCTCATGACAACCCTGTGAGGTAGGTCACATGTCCATACGTAGCCAGTGTGCAAGGCCTCGGAGTGCTTTGGTGACACAGCTGGGGTTACGGGTTAGAAATTGCTGGCTCCCAGTCCTTTGCTTGCCAGGCCACACAGCGTATTCCAAACCAGTGTGCGAAATCCTCCGCACGTTGGTTACTTGCACCAGTCTCGTATTCCGGAGCCCAGGCTCTTTGTGCGCTGGCTTCTGGCAAGGCGCAGTCTGCAGCGGTGCAGTCACAAAGTGGGCAGGGTGATTCCTCTTTCCTTTTAATAACAGCAACCAAAGCCCACGTGTAACAGTTCATGATATAGCCATGGCTGTGTCTGACTCTGTCCAGCTGGGGGCCCCCTCCCTAGTCCCTTGGGTTGCTGTAATCCGGAGCCCCAGGAGGTCTCAGTCAGCAACGGGTGCTCTGAGTCGGTCCGTAACTTTCCCTGGTAGGCAGTACCAGCCGTGGGGGTCTCTCATTATCTTCCCACGGTGCCTTTCTCTGCCCTCCCAAGCCTGGGCTGGGCCAGGCTGCTTCGCTTCCCTTCCTGCTGCTCCAGCTTCTCATCAGCTGAGACACAAACTCCAGGCAGGCTGTGCAGTCATGGAGGCACAGACGCCCCCCCTCTGCACAGCTGCCGGAGCCTGCCCTCTCTGCAGGCTGGGGGAGGAGGAGGTGGAGCCGGGGGTTCCTCTCCTGGCACGCTCTCTGCCTTGGCGAAACTCGGCTTTCTGCAGGTGGGGCGTGGGGAGCCTTGATGCCCAGATCCCTGAAGATTTGCTGGCCCCCAGGCTGGCTTCAGCCACACTTTTCCCTCTCCTCTGCTGCTTCCTACCCCAGTTACTTCTTAGTGTGTGATCAGACCAGGAAGTGCTGGCCGACTCCTGTGTCAATCATTCTCTGCACTAGTGAAATTTTAAAGAGACAGGATCCCAGGAGGTCTGGGGCATTGCTGGAAGCAGCTGCGAGTCCCGGGAACCGGATTCTTAATTCACTGGATGGCAGCTCTAGGCCCAGTGTTACGCCTTCAGTCTGGCATGCGGAGCAGTATAACCGGCACTTCCAGCTGTTCCGGCTGCACTGGGAGACCAGCTAGCAGGGAGGATATTAGTGTGGCCATGTATTTGGTGACGAAACAAACCTGGGACATCTTTTGGATGGCTCCAGCATACGAGGGTGGGAGCTGGGTGGATGATGGTTTCTGAAGGTGCCTGTCTTAACGTCGCCCCTTGCTGAGCTTTGCCCCGGTGCCATATTAGGGGTGTTCAGGACATTCTGGGCTCGATTTTGCTGCCCATGTACCGATTCTTCGTGCACTGCCCCACTGGGAGTTCCCGGGATCCGTAGTGCTTGAAAAGGGGGTGGCTAGCTGGGCCTGGAAAGGGCTCCGCTGTTCTAGCAGTGCAGTGTTTATAGTAGAGGAGGGTGCTGGGGGAAGAGGCAGAATGCCAGGCCAGGAGGAGGTGGGGAAAGCAGGATGAGCACAGGGCAGACAGGCTGGTAGGGCACAGATTAATTAGAACCAGGAGGGAATCTAGGTTTCAGAACACTACGTCCACCCCCACTAAACCTGGGATCTGGCCACTGGATGGCAGACAAATTTGTCCCCTAGTGGGAGGCTTATGAAGTGCTTTGAAGATGACAAGTGCTGTGTTTGTGCGGAGTATTATTGCCTGTGTGGAACGGCGCTGCTGTGCGAAAGTCTCCATTCTTGCTAGCCCCTTACTGCTGACCTGGGCCATATGGAAACTGGGATTGGGGCAGGGTCAAGATAAAGAGCTGTCAGGCTGATGAGCGCCCAGCAGAGGCGGGGGAGGGATCTCGGAGAGCCTTTGGGGTTGTTCTCTTTATCAGAGTGTGGTGGCTGAAGGTCTGGCACAGGAAGGGAAGAACAGTGTAGTCTAATCTAAGTGGCAGCTAAAATACCAAGAAGTGGCTTTTTACTTCCTGCGTCTAAGAAGGAGAAAGTTTCTATTCCTGGTTGCTAGAGGCAGCCTTGACCCTGCTGGAACCATGCAACAAGCCAGCTGAGTTAAGCATAAATCTGACCACAGCAGAAAGCAAACCCTGCCGGCCTTTCGCCCAGTTGGCCTGTATAGTGTCGCTGCAGCAAACAGAAGTGTCCTCCAGCCTGACGCCAACTTCTCAATAGCCGCCTTCTGCCACCAGGTTACCCAGGTGGTCTTCAAATTCTGCTCATTAATTTGTATCTAATGTTCGTCCCCAGTCCACTAATAATCTACAGGAAGGGTTCTGTGTGAACTCTCCTGAAGCTGCTTACAACTGTGAGTCCTTCCTATTTTATTCTTGCATTGCAAGCACTGGGAACCGATTGTACAATGCTCCTTATCAGGCACCTAGACATTGTACCTTCTGTTCTGGGCCTCTGCAGGACATTCTTAATGCCACTGACCTTGAGAAATGTTCTTCATCCCAAACACACAGCTTACGAGCAACTTTAAACGTGCCCAGGTGGTGAATCCTGGAGGGTACAGGTGGCTCTATCCTGCTTTACAGCTTTCTGACTTAAATACCCTCTTAAAATGGAAGCAGGCCATCCGCATGTTCTACCCATGGCATAGCTACACAGATTGATACTGACTGTGCATCTGCAAACCATATGAAGTGTGGGGGAGGTCTCTTTATTCTGGAGAATCTGCTTTTGTTGCTAGCACAGTGAGGTCTTGGTCTGTTACCAGGGCTCCTCGTCCTGCAGTAACACAATTAATGATGGAAGCCGAACATAGATCAAGTTTTTTCCTCTTCCTGAGAATAGAACTGGCTTTCCTTAGAACTATCCTTTGTTTTAAACCCCTCTGAAAACTGCCTGTGTGCTCTGGATGTGGGTTGGCTCTAAGGTCTGGTTACTGTTCTCCTTTAGGTTGTGATAATATAGTCATCATCTGGAATGTGGGAACAGGTGAAGCCCTTATAAACCTGGATGACATGCATCTGGACATGATTTACAATGTGAGCTGGAATCGCAACGGCAGCCTGATCTGTACAGCTTCTAAAGACAAAAAAGTCCGAGTGATTGACCCTAGGAAACAAGAAATTGTTGCTGTGAGTATGCTAAAAGCAGTGGAGTGTCAGTGCAGGAGATGCTTAGCAAAAGCATGTAGACAAACTCAATGTTTGTGTTTTGTTTAATGTGGTGAGACATTTGCAAAGCCGGTGAAATGTTACAGGAAGGGTAGCAGTGCTGAGGCACTTCACCTAATTTTATTGGCATTTGTGCTTGAATTATCAACATTTTGGGCCCGATTTTTAAATCTGCACAAGGGTAATTTCACGTGTAATTTTCAGGCAAAATTGGGTACCTGTAGATGCAGAGGGAGAGTCAGTGGCATAGCTGTCCATTTGCATGTGCTGTAGCTTGTTGAAACATCAGTTCGTTTTAATCTTGCTTTTAGAATGTGTAATTCTGCATGCTAGGCAGCGTTGAAAGAAATCAACTGAACGGATGCTGCTTTTCTTGTACATTAGTAATTTATTTTTTCACCTGGAGCTTTGGGCAAGGACCTGGAGGCTGTATCCCATCTGGTCAGCTTCTTGGGGCAGTGGTTCTATGCAACTCGATGAATAGAATTTGGGTTAATTCATCATGAATCAGGATTTCTGTTGAGTGCTGAATGTTTTTCTCTGCAAATCCATTTCAGGAGAAGGAGAGGGCCCATGAGGGAGCGCGGCCCATGAGAGCCATCTTCCTCTCCGATGGCAACGTCTTTACCACCGGCTTCAGCCGCATGAGTGAACGGCAGCTCGCCCTGTGGAATCCTGTATGTGCCCATCCAGCTGGTCCTTAGTTATAATGCTGTCATAAATTACTGGCCAAGACAGCCTGCTAGTTACCGCAATGCTTACATTTTATTAGTGAGATTATATTCCCCTTTTCCTCAGCTCTCTAATCCTGCCCCTACATGTCACAGCCAAGGACAGCGCCAACCTATTTAGGCCCCAAATTTGTATCTGTAAAGGAAATTGACTCTTGTATAACCTCCTTGGAGGAAGTCTTCTGTGTCTTCCCAAGAACAGTGAAGACATAACAGCAGCTAAATATTCAATGCTGCATTTATCATTGAACAGCTTAGAAAATATATGCAAAGGAGGGATGTCCTAGAACAAGCCAGCCGAGCCAAATGTAAATCTGACCAAAGCAAAGAGCAGATCCTGTAGGCCTTCCGAGAGGGCCACGTCCATCTGAAATCTTTCATGTGCCATCACAGTGTGGTACCTAGCTGTGACGTGGTCTGTTTCTTACACTGTGCAATAGACTTATTACCATGGTTGTGTCTCTAATCTCTTCCTTAACTTGGCATGTGTTTGGGGGGACCTGTTAAAAACAGCGTTTGATAGCAGGTCCTCAGAAAACCAGTGTACTCTCAAACAATGACCGTGCGTGCTACAACGTAAGGCCCTTCAGAGAAGTGAAATTGCTGTTGGTCATTCCCCTAAACAGTAGGAATCACAAAGGATTTAGCTAATGAATTTACTGGGGATTTCTATTCTCTGATGATCTGATACAAATCTCATTTGCAGAAAAATATGGAAGAGCCAATAGCCCTGCACGAAATGGACACCAGCAATGGGGTGCTGCTTCCATTCTACGACCCGGACACCAATATCATTTACTTGTGTGGCAAGGTAAGGAGCAGCTTCCGAGAGGAGCAAAGTGGCTGTGCGGCATTTTGCTTGTGAGAGCCTGTTGAGATAATGAATCTTGATTACACTGGACATGTGTTTTATGATAGCCATGCTAATAGGTCTGTCTGAATGCAGCAGTAGACTGATGGTGACTAAGCAGGCTGAGATGAGGCCATTAGCCTGATGAGCAGTGAAAATTTCAGCTGGAGGAAATTAACTATAAAATGTACATTACTCATGGGGCAATTGTTTCTGATGCTTCTCTCCTTTTATGTGATGCTTTTTTGAAGGTCAGATTGTTATGAGATATTCCCTTCGCCTCCCATGTAATGGAAACGCCACTGGTCCCTGCATTTAACTCCTCCTTTGTTGCCTCACCTACCTGGTACATTGCAGCTGCCTGCATCTCCAGCACTGCCTCATTCACGTCCGCTTTGGACTGCGGTCGTTCCAGTGCAACACAGTGTTTGTAGTATTGCCATTGTGTTTGACGGCTGCGTAGAGGTAGCCAGTGGGCTCGTGCATTGGCACGATGCATTCCTTCTCTCTTCAGGGAGGAGGCTCGACAGCAGACGTCAGCCTGCTTTTTGTGTAAAGGACACGGGGCCTCGCTGGGATGGGAGCCCCCCCACATTCTAAGCACAGTATCCCAGGGCCATGGAAGGGTCACCGCCCCTTTCATTCTCCTCCTTCTTTGTTCCCTGCAGGGTGACAGCAGCATTCGCTACTTTGAGATCACCGATGAATCCCCATATGTCCACTACCTCAACACCTTCAGCAGCAAAGAACCGCAGAGGGGGATGGGGTTCATGCCAAAGAGGGGCCTGGATGTGAACAAGTGTGAAATCGCCAGGTAACTAGGAGTGCTGAGCGGCTGGCCCGTGGATGTGAGCAACACGGCTAATCGGGCTAGCCCATTTATATTCCTGCTTTCGGTACACGTCCTGGGCCGCGCCGGCCAGGTTCATGTAGTACAAAGCAAAACAACCTCACACAAGCAAGAGATGCATTTGGTACAAGAACTGAAGGAGGTGGGAACACTTAAAAGCTCAATTGGATGTGTGGTCTGAGACAGTGACGCAAATAACGACTGATTTAGAGACCTCTCGCTCGCTCGCTCTCATGTTCCGTCAGGATTTCTGCAGTACCCTTTGCTCCCGGTGACAAGTGCTAATATTTCTGCTAGGGATAGTATGATCTGAACTGAAAGTGGGTCAGTGTTTGGGTTGAGACTGTAACAGACGGATGGACAGTATCTAACACAGCAAGCTGCTGGAATCGGCCTTGCTAAAATCAAGCATGTTCCATCGAGGCAGTTCTGATCTATATTGGGTCAGACGTAAGCCTGGTTTACTACAGGGTTTAATATTAAAGGGATGTCTCTTTGATAGTCTAGCATTAATCTCCTTCCAATGCTGCTTTATAAACTTAGAATAGAAACAATTTCGGACTCGTGGAGAACAGTACAGCAGCATTGGCTTAACCAAAGATTGCTGATGTGGCTGAAAACTGCCAGCGAAAGCCATGCCAGGTAAACATCCCACGGCAAGGACGAGGCACCCACCATAACCGTTTAATTGGTGGTCGTCTTCTAGCTCAAAATACGAGTAGAGGTGGAAGACTGGTGTGGAGATAGGCCGTGTGTAATGCAGCAGCTTGGTGGCCAAAGATACAGTGCGTGTAGCCTATATTTGTATAGTGCTCATCAGCAGAGTCTCAGCAGCAACCTGTGACGTACTGAGAGCATCGTCAGGCCAAACTGAAGAGACTGCCTAAAGAATCTTGCTGTTCTCTTCGCACAGGGTGCCGTCAGTCCACCCAGTCATTAGAGGTCTAGAAGCACTGGCGCACAAAACTGGGTAGTTTTCACCTGCCCTTAGAAAAGCCCCTTCAACTGCTGGGTGTGATGGGGGGTGGGGGGGGGGAATTACCCAGCTGAAACCTCTTAATCATTCTCATTTACCATCTCTTCCCCCGCCCCTTGACCACTAGTATCCATTTGGGTGAACAGGAATCAAGCCCAGCTTCCATGTGCCGACTGGCATTTGCTCCCACTAAGTTGTGCTTTTTCTTTTTGAAAGGTTCTTCAAACTTCACGAGCGGAAGTGCGAGCCCATTATCATGACGGTCCCCCGAAAGGTGAGGTGCTGCCTGCAGTGGAAGTTATATAGCACCTTCCAGCCCAAAGCATGTTACTAATTAATTCCTTCTGACTTCTAGTCTGACCTTTTCCAAGATGACCTGTATCCTGATACGGCTGGTCCTGAAGCAGCTCTGGAAGCTGAAGAGTGGTTTGAGGGGAAGAACGCTGATCCCATTCTCATTTCTTTGAAACATGGGTACATTCCAGGCAAAAACAGGGATCTCAAGGTGGTCAAAAAGAACATATTGGACAACAAGCCTGCAGCAAACAAGAAAAGCGATCTCATTAACACCCCAAAGAAAGCAGCAGACACCTCAAATATTGTGAGTAACGTCTCACAGGCCATCAGGGAGTGGCACTGGAGTCTCAGGCAGGGGTGCTCTACCCTCTGAATCAGTAAAAAACCAAATGCTCTCGTTACACTGGGCCCGTCCCTGCAGTAACAGCCTAGCTAGCTAGCATGGACTTAGTGCTCAGGGGCTACTAGGGTAGGTGGTTTTCCGGACAAGAGGTAAGTCTAAGATCACTTGTAGCTATTGAAGTGCCCTGTGAACCTTTTGCACAAATGTGTGTTAGGCCTGGTGATCTGGCCACACACGTACGTGGGGGATTTACATTCCCTCAGCCCAGTTCCCCCAGAGAGCTGCACTGGGAGGAATGGTTTTGTGCTGCTAGGCAGTGGCAGAGTTTGAAATGGTTTGTGACCCTAAAAATCCTGCTCCCACCCTGGGAACTCGTTCCCACAGGAATCTGACTTTCGTTTGTAATTCAAAGAAAGCAGCTGGTTAATGGAGGAACTTTGGATCCTAATTCATGAGCCCATCATGTGTCTAAAACCAAACACAGCAAATCAGAGAGAATAACCCTGACGGAGTGGACTGCTGAGAAGGCGGGTGTGAAACGCCCTGTGGTCTGGCTATACTGGCTGACAGGTGCCCCAATAGTGTTGGTTATAAGAGCAGATTCAGTGTATCAGGCCATTGAATAAAGGGGATTATAAACTCCATTAAAAAGCAAACCCTGGCCCAGTGTACCCTTTACATTTGCACTAACTCCATTAGAAATGCTGCTGGTTGCTGTTCCATTAGCATGTTACCCTGTGTCAGAAGCTTCATGTTAGCACTCAAGAGCACATGATTCCCAGCCGGTTTATCTGTAAGAATCTCCCTTTGAAATCCCTTTGTGCTGGAGCACGTTTGCTTTAGAAACCTCAAATGTCAATATGCAGAATTGCTCCTTCCAGCCAATTTTTAATGAATTCTGGTTTTGTTGTTTGGTTCCAGCAAAACGAAGCCAAATTGGATGAGATTTTGAAAGAGCTTAAATCTATAAAAGACACAATCTCCAATCAAGATGAGCGCATTTCCAAGTTAGAACAGCAGATGGCGAAGATGACGGTTTGAGAGCAAAGGGAGCAGAACTTTAAGCTGGAGCAGGGCTGGGGCGGCACTGCCGTTCAAGAAGACATTCCATTTCAGAAGTTCGTCAAGCAGCAGCGTGCAGCATTCCAATAAGAACTTTATTATTCTCCTAAATTAACTTCAGCGAAAGCCGATGATTAAAAGCCGAGCTTTTTAGTGAACAATTTTTCTGATGTTTTAATGTGTTACGTGACTTGGTCAAAATTAAGTCAAAAGAATAAGTGCTACTTTTACAATTTGTTTCCAGATGTTATGAATTTTTGAAAACAAACTATTCTGACTTTCAGTGTTGTGCCCAATTATCCTTTTATAGAATTAGGGACCAACGCCACATTGTTCTTAGCCATTTTTTTTAAAGTTGCCAAAAAAAAAAAGTAGCCTTTTATTTTTCCTATTTGGCACTTTGCAGTATTTGTTTTTTAAATCTAAAGGGACACCACTGTGTGTGTGAGTGTGTAGAGATTGGGGTGTGGCTGTGCATGTGTGTGTTTATACTGTGTAGAGAACAAAATGAAGCTGTTTTGTATAAATCTTCATCTTTGAACAATCTGATCAGTTCCATTTGCAGTGTGGACAAGGCAGTTCTAGAGCCCCTCCCATAAACCCATGTGAGTTGACTTTACTGCCTTTTTAACAGTGTCCCAGTCACCATCAGCACCTAGCTTAAAAAACTTGGTTGTGAGTGAAGTGACTCATGTCACCCATAACTCTTTTTTCCCTTTCTACATTCGAGAGACTGAACCCTTGTCCTGGAGCCATGCTGTCCTCTTCCAACACTCTGTGCTTGGATTATCCTAACGTTGTCAGAATGGGCATTTTGTTTTTTAAAAGCCAAATATTTTTTACACTGCAGATTTTCATTCTGTTTATCAGCTAACATAAGGTGTAAGGGTGCGCAGTGAAATAGCTAAGACGAATGCCCAGAATTCTGATTTGCAAGCCAGCGGGACGTGAGCACGTAGCCAAGTTTTCCATTATGTCTATTCCAATCCTTTGCCTAGCTGTAAATTTGTGTGTCTGCATTAAGTGCTGCAAGACCAGGCTCCTTTGCTCATAAAGAAGCTCTTAAATTTGTGAGCTTAAACTATTTCTGCCCCCGTTTTTGATGCTGAGAAGTTCCAGCCCCAATATGGCTTTCAGAGCAGCATTAGAAGTAGTTGGGTAACATTACAATGACAGGTCTCCAAAAACAAAACCCTTCCAATACCTGTTCTCCCTCTGTCACTCTCTCCTGGTAACCCCACTGGCTATAGTAAAATCCCATCCCAGGGAACACAAGATTTCCTGAAATATAAGTGACCTTTATCTCCAGTCCCATTGCAGTCCTAGCTTTTCTGCCCTGGTCTCAGAAACCTTTGAGATCCTCAGGTGAAAGACTTGGTGTAAGTGCATGTTAATCCAAAGCCAACATCCTGACTTGGGTGTGGGGCTCCGAGTGTCCAGTGACTGCCTCAGCCCAGTGAATGTCTGCTTACCGTGAGGGTCTGCGTCATGAGAGGGAGCGGCGTTTGGTGGGCCCTGATCGGGCTTGCAAAGGATTTACCTGCAGGGGTGAGCGCTTCAGCACCTGTTGGGGCAGAGGGTGCTAGACCTCTGGTAGTCGGCACAGTTTGCTGTGATACGTGTTGAGCCCCACCCAGGCCAGGACAACTTGCCTTGGCACCGGGGAAGAGGCTGATCAACCACAAGTGCAGTTAAAACCTGTCTGTGGGCCAGAGCAGTGAACCAGCTGATAAGCCTAAAATACCCTTTTCCACCTGAGGTTTGATCCTTGAATGGCCTCACTACAGCTTAATATATATGTGCATGTGCATATGCCTGTCAGACACACACACGGGGACTGCTTTCCCAATTAACTGAGGAAGTGCCAGACGAGAGGCTGCCTTTGCATGGGGCAGGTTCGCATTCCTTCATCTGGGCAAAGGAGTGAGCGCTGAATTTCTCTTCCAGTAGGTTAGCTAGAATTTCTCTCAAGTTCTCCATTTTTCTTGTATTTGCATGTTCAAAACTTATGATGAAGGAGTCTCTTGTTCTGGAAGGTGTGAGTGTTTCTGACCTAAGGTGAAGTCGTACCATTGGGACAGTTAAGTGAACTTTTAGCAGGTGAAGCGTAAGAGTTGATGAGAGAGGACAGAAAACGTGTACAGTGTCACAGGATGAAAGCTTCATAAAACCAGCTCTGGGTTATTTAAGGCAGTGAGCCAATGTTCTTGGCGTTGTGCGTTGAAAATTGAGTTTGCAGCCTAGACAATTCATTGAATGTTTGGTGTTGTTTGTACTGCGATCAATGGCTGATGGGGTGGGGTGGATTTTGGCAAACAAAACCCAGTTCTACCCTGGGTAGTGATCTCCTTGTTAATTTGTATGTGTGGCGTCAAGTCTGTGTGCTGGGGGTCTTTGTTTTTCTAATCAGAGGGAATGAAGTTTCTGAAATGCCAGATTTAACTGCCCAACCAACACTGTTGTAAGGTAGAGTGATGGTTTAAAGAGAAGGGGGCGGGGGAAAGTCCTCCTTGGTTTTTTAGTTTATAGCTTGTATTTTATTTAAATGAACTGATGATGCCTAGCCAGGCTCAAACGGAGTCAGTGCCTGAAGCTTTTTTTAGCCGTGATATCCCAGAAGAGAACCAGCAAAGTATTTGAGAGATGCGCTCTTATAGAGCGGCCATAGTATCCTGTCCAAATATTTGCTTCCATTTTCAAAGATAAAATCATTGATTACAAAGTTCCATTGTCTGTTGTTTTTCTTTGACACCTTGTTCCTGTGGCGTTCTGTGCTGCTCAATTACATTAGACCGAGTGTCCGCGGCCTGAGCAGGTAGGTAGCAGCCAATGTTTAATTTCTTGCCGGGGGTTAAGATTTTTGTAGATTAGCATAGGATACAACCGTCTAGACACAAAATAGACAGGGCGAAACTTTCAAAAATGTGCCGGAGTCTCATCTTCAAAAGTAACATAAGCACTTAATCTAAGTCCTATTGACTTGCAGTGAGGCTTAGCACATTTGAAAATATTACCTGCAGCCATTTATCAGAGAATCATGTCCTTTCTTTAGTTTGACATTCTTGGAAACAAGCCCAGAACTCAAACTTTTTTTGTATTTTCACTTATTTCAAACATTCCCTTTCTTCAAGTAGGCCGCTAAGGCCTTTCACTTCTAGTCAACTTCCAGCTTTGCAGAATTGACACTTCTCGAAAGGAGCTTTGCCCTCCAGTATCTTTCTGTGGGTAGGTGGCTGAAGAGTGGGTAATGGAACCTGGAGCTGTTCACCTCCAGCTTGCTAATTTGAATCCAAGCCACATCAGCAGTGACTGAAAATTGTATCCGTCCCACAGCTGCTTAGAGGCTTTTGTGAAATGGCTTGGTTCTCAATCCAGTTCCTAGCAGAAAATAAGTGTGTACACCACACATCCTGCCACCCCATGATGGCATACAGCCCTTGTAATGGTGGCTCTCCGGAATGCAGAGTACACACAATGGTAGAGCCACATAGGGATTCTTATACTGTGCACGTTGTGTAGGCAGAGCGTCATGTTCTCTAGGGCTGCCACTACCCCAGCACCTTTCAGATATTTTATCAAAGGAAAGTTTAAAATAGATGTGGCGCTCCTTGCTAGTAGTTACTCGGGGGATGAGAAGAGACATGTAATGTCTTCCCCATGGAGTCTGTCTTCCTTCAATTTCTTTGTGCCTGACTTGGCTTAGCACCTGTCTGCCTGCAGACTGCAGTGTGATGGCTAGAGCAGACCATTTGCAGAGCCTGGCCACTCCGGTGTGTGATTTGCTGGAGGGGCCATCTTTACAATCTGAGGCTGTTGAGAAGCTGCCCGGCCTGGAGGATTTGGGGCAAGAGGCTGTTTAGAACAAACCGTGTTCTAACGTCTTAATAATCCCTTACAAACCTGGACCGGGTAGAGACAAATCAAAGGTGGTAGATTCTGTAATTCTACAGGTTAAGACTGGGTTTTACAAGCTTTACAAATATATGGATTTGGGTTATCCAGCCACATGGCAGAGTCATATATTGTCAGGTGACCCTCAGCTCCTTTCGCCCTCCCCCAGTGAGGTACCCCTACGTCCCACACAGGCTGCTGCAGCTGGGTCTGAGAAGCATTCAGCCAGCTGTGCTGAGTGAAGCCTCGGCCAGTCTCCATGCTCCAGGGTTTGCCTGTGCCAGCTGAGACTTTGGTGTCTAGTCTAAGTTTGATCCAAGGCAAAGTTTCTCCATGTGTGCCAGTGGGCCCAGTTCCTCCCCACTCTCACCAGCCAATTTCATTCCAGCCAAGCTGGTGGCTTCCCCAAAGTTCAGCTGCAAATTTCAACTTTCCCGTGTGGCAGTTTCCTTACTGAGCTGAGAAGCCGGGTTGAGCGAGGGGGTGGAATCCAACCTGACTCTGCACGCTGCTGTCATGTCTTTCTCCACACCACTCTGCAGAGCTCAACAGATGCCTGAGAGCGTGATTCTTAGTAGGGCTGTCAATTAATCACCATTAACTCACACGATTAACTCAAAAAAAAAGTAATCGTGATTGAAAACATTAATTGGGATTAATCAGTTTTAATTGTACCGTTATCAACTGAAATTTATTAAATGTTTTGGATGTTTTTCTTCATTTTCTCATATATTGTATTCTGTGTTGTAATTGAAATCAAAGTGTATATTTTTTATTACAAATATTTGCACTGTAAAAATGATAGATGAAATAGTTTTTTAATTCACCTCATACAAGTACTGTAGTGCAATCTTTGTTTTGAAAGTGCAACTTACAAATGTAGATTTTTTTGTTACAGAACTGCACTCAAGAACAAAACAATGTAAAACTTCAGAGCCTACACATCCATTCAGTCCTACTTCTTGTTCAGCCAATCGCTAAGACAAACAAGTTAGTTTATATTTATGGGAGATAATACTGCCCTCTTCTTATTTACAATGTCACCAGAAAGTGAGAAAAGAAGTTCGCATGGGACTTTTGTAGCTAGCATTGCAAGGTATTTATATGCCAGATATGCTAAACATTTGTATGCCCCTTCATGCTTCAGCCACCATTCCAGAGGACATACTTCCATGCTAATGACACTTGTTAAAAAAAATGTGTTAATTAAATTTGTGACTGAACTCCTTGGGGGAAAATTGTATGTCCCCTCCTCTGTTTTACCTGCATTCTGCCACATCTTTCATGTTATAGCAGTCTTGGATGATGACCCAGCACACGTTCATTTTAAGAACACTTTCACTGCAGATTTGACAAAACACAAAGAAGGTACCAATGTGAGATTTCTAAAGGTAGCTACAACACTCAACCTAAAGTTTAAGAATCTGAAATGCCCTCCAAAATCAGAGAGGGACGAGATGTGGAGCATGCTTTCAGAAGTCTTAAAAGAGCAACACTCCGATGCGGAAACTACAGAACCCAAGC